ACATATCAGCCAAATTATCCTATCCTATAAGCGAGAAACGTATGTTTGTTTTCTGTACAGCCGATTTCTCGGCCGTCAGGCCGAATTTCCGGCTAATTTTTGGCATGGAGGTGGAGAAACACATTTGTCAGTGACGGATTTTTTTGTTTTTCGAAACTCCTTCATTTAAAGATTTTACAAGCAAAATAGTGAAAAACCCTTAACATTTTGGTCGAAAAAAGGTTTGTTCAGAGCATATCTCGGGATCCTAATGGAATTGGGCTCTAATCTTTGGAGGGTAGATAGGAAATGCAATTCTCCGGATATATAATTCTGCGTTTGTCGGATTTTGTAAAATTAAATTTTTATCATCATTTTTGTAAAAAGTCCTTAACAAAAGGGATCAAGAGCCGTGGTGTCTGGGCCATAACTCGAAGCTCAGACGGGCGGGTTTTTAGCCCTCAGGCAGGTTGATTCGCGGGGCGCGCAATAGCAGTGACAGGCTTTTAGGTCGCGTAATGGGACTGATTACTCGATGTTTTGTTGAAAGAAAAACTATTACAAGTGTAAGAAACTATATTGCTTTGCTCACAAGTTTATTTTAACGACAAGAATAGTATAATAACGTGCACAATGGCCAATTGTATATATGCCCAGGTAGACGCTTTACAACGCGGCGCTAAATCTTTGCTTGCATGTACGTATAAGACCAAATATCGTGGAAAAAGCAAGACGCATCTGTAGGGAGACATTATCAAATAGATTTCGTCGAGCCTTCTAGCTTCTCGGCTCGACAGCACGAGTGCAGTCGACGGAAACAATTTCGAGCCAAAACCATGACTATGTATGCGTCGCGCAAAATTTGATCGATATCTTTCCGGACTCGACGATCACTGAAGATAGTATTTCATATTTGTAAAAGTATGCTCTGTTGAAACCCGAACCAAGACGGTCCTGTTGTTCAGAATTGTCAGCTGCTGCCGGGCAGCGTAAGAGCAGCGCTAAAACTATGCTTACAGGAAGTTCGCCTTAGAAAGAAAGAAGCGGTTTATTTTTGGATAGCTTTGGTCTATTTGTTGAAATTCAGCACAACCTTGTTCGCATCATATTTGCGCTTCTTAAACCTATGTGAACATAGGAAGCCCTATTTTTCATCGTGTATCGCTTGGGAGTGTGGCCTGAAAACTACTTGAGTGGATACCCTAAAGTTATAAGTCAGAACTGGTTTTAGAATTCCCCTGTCGATCCTGATGCCAGGGGAATGAAAAGCAAAGCAAAAAGAAAATCATGACAAGCAAGCAAAGATTTAGCGCCGCGTTGTAAAGCGTCTACCTGGGCATATATACAATTGGCCATTGTGCACGTTATTATACTATTCTTGTCGTTAAAATAAACTTGTGAGCAAAGCAATATAGTTTCTTACACTTGTAATAGTTTTTCTTTCCACAAAACATCGAGTAATCAGTCCCATTACGCGACCTAAAAGCCTGTCACTGCTATTGCGCGCCCCGCGAATCAACCTGCCTGAGGGCTAAAAACCCGCCCGTGAAGCTCAGATGGAATTTCGGGCTGGAATTTTGGCCACTGATGTACTCGATGGTGGGGATCACGCAAATCTTATTATCTTTGCAAATTGTCAGTTGATTAAGACTCGAAAACCGAATTTTGTAAAGTGACCAGTAGGCCTCCCTTTGGGATCATTGGGTCGCCATTCTCTTTGCCTTCCCCCGCTCCCAGGAGAGAAGAGGCCTTTCCCGCTGCCTGTTCCCATCGTCACGGTGGTGCAGTGCATTTGCGTCTGTATTCCAAGCGCTTAGTAGTGAGTTCGGATCCTGCCCGGATCTAACTTTTTGCTTTTTGGTAGTTCAGCAACAAAACATATTCTAGGCTCTCGGTGTGCGGGGGTTAGGCCTAGCCCTCGCTCTAGCGCCGCAGGCCAAAAAGGTCCTTGACCCAAGGCTCTAGCGCGCCGCATGTTTACAAATTCTAGCGCAACGCTGGCTCTGGCGCCGCAGCCCAAAGTATGGCTCCTTTACTCCGGTTCTTGCGCCGCAGGCCCAACATGGAGAGTAAAGTCAGTAGCTCGCGCCGCAGGCTCAAGGTTTCGAGCGTAGCCCGCGCTCTGGCGCCTCAGGCCGAGGAATGGCTCCGGGGACTCCGGCACTTGCGCCGCAGGCTTGAAGAAAAGGAATGGTTAGAATTCGTGGTTCTTAAACGGGGGTCCAGTGGAAAATGGGTTGGCAGTCGTCTGATCGAAAAGTCGCCTGATCGAAAAATCACCTGATCGAAAATCGTCTGATCGAAAATTATCGGGGCTGAAGGACCAAACCTGGTGAAATAAAATTATTCTTGCCCCTGCACCTGGAAGTAATTTGTCATACCATGCTTCGTGGTTAGGCTTAGACTTAGGCTTAGGCTTAGACTTAGGCTTAGGCTTAGGCACCAACAAGGCACTCAACCAACACTTTGGCTGCAAGCACCCGTCCATGTGGAAATTCCTCAACTACCTTCAGAAGTTCGAGCTCGAAACCCGGGTCAAACTGAGACAGCTCCGAGAATACGCGCATGCCCCGAAGAAACGCGACCGGACGACGCTCGACGAGCAGCAGAAAATATGCTACAACTTTGATAAGGATTTGCTACAGCAATTTTCGATCAGGGGACTTTTCGATCAGGCGATTTTCGATCAGGCGATTTTTCGATCAGGCGATTTTTCGATCAGGTGACTGGGAATCGGAAAATGGCCGCGAAGCGGTCTTTTTCCACGGGTAGTGTTATAATTGCGTTTTTAGCAATGCACAACTATATTTCAACGTTTCAACTTCTCTCAACGTTTTTAGACTACCTATTTGAATTTGGGTTTTAGGAAAATATTCGCAATTTATTATCAATCGATTTTCTTTATCCTTCGCACCTAAAGAATATCGGTTCTTTAGGATTTCCGGGGGTAAACCAATTTTTTTCGGCATAAGCCTAAATTTTTTATAAAGAGCGGATGCGTTTATAAATGGTTTTTAACTATTCCTAGGCATAAAAACTACACATATTTTAATTATAAAGTTTCATTTTAGGTCGAAAAATTCTATAGAACCTTTAGGATTATTGGGGGAGACCCAAAATGACTAAATGTTCGACTTTTTCAACATTTTTCTAACTTTTTTTGAAAGTTTTTCTACCTTAGATATAGTTAAAATTTACTGAAAACAATGTGAAAACACTTTATTTTCGATCACTAGGTCAACCGGGACCGCCAGGAAAATAATTGGTCTCCCCACCCCCCGAAATCCCCGGAAATCCTAAAGAACCGACGTGATTTAGCCAAACAAATAAACTAAGTTAAAAAGTTATCGACAAAAAACGTCCCTCCGATAAACCCCTCCCCCCCTGCTAACAAACCAGAGCCGATCTCGCTAATCCGTCGGCCAATTTTGATGATTAAAAGGCCATCCGCGAGTCACTCGAACAGTCCCCATTATAGCTCGGCACCGTTCGACCCTGTTTTTGATGGCATCGGAGAGCATAGTCGAATTAGTAGGGCGCATAGTTTTGAAAGTTTAAAAAGTTCGTTTGTAGGGTTTAATAGGCTCAAAGTTGCCGACCCCGGACCCATCTGAAAGCTAGCTGACGAGTTTTCGAAACTGAGACAATACCAATTTTGGTTGGGGATCATTTCTCTAATACATCACAAAGCGCGAAAATGACCGGAACAAGGCTAAGTCGAATAGTAAAAACAGTTTTTTGAGATTTTCGAGTTGCAGTAATTCCGAAGCACAACTGGAACTATCACAGAAAGATGCGCGAGACTCTCCTGCATCGATTGGTGTATCATTTAGCTTGCGCTAGGAATACTAACATTGAAAAAAATCGCGATTTGTAGGCGAAAAACGCGGAAAAAATGTTCCATAAAAATACAAAGTTGTTAATTTTGTTAATCTGAGGTATCTGAGGTACCTTCTGAGAGGGGGCTGGGATTGAACTAACGTCGGCTCTGGATTGGAACGCCGACGCTCTACTCATTGCGCCACAGGGCTCCCAGGCGGAGGGTGCGGGTTCGATTCCGCGGCATCGAAAGAAACGAAATTCCTTTTTGCTCTTTTTGGCAATCGCTTCAGCTCGGCTCCTAGAAGCGTTTTGATACCTCAGATTAACAAAATTAACAACTTTGTATTTTTATGGAACATTTTTTCCGCGTTTTTCGCCTACAAATCACGATTTTTTTCAATGTTAGTATTCCTAGCGCAAGCTAAATGATACACCAATCGATGCAGAAAAATCTCGCGCATCTTTCTATGATAGTTCCAAGTTGCGCTCGGAATACTAAAAATTCGAAAATCTCAAAAAACTGTTTTTACTATTCGACTTAGCCTTGTTCCGGTCATTTTCGCGCTTTGTGATGTATTAGAGAAATGATCCCCATCCCAAATTAGGTATTGTCACAAGGTTTCAGAAAATTCGGTACAGTAGCTTTCGAGATAGTTTTCCGGGGTCGGCAACTTTGAGGCCCATTTAAACCCTACAAATGAACTTTTTAAACTTTCCAAACTATGCAGCCCTACTAATTCGACTATGCTCTTTCCGATGCCATCAAAAAAACAGGGTCGGAAAAAACTGTGCCAAGCCTATTTCAGTCTTCCCGCAAACGGCCTTTTAAGACAGCCAGAGGGATTCGAAATTGGCCGACGATTCCAGAAATGGCGTCACGATTTGGGAATTCACGCATTTTCACGTCAAAACGGGGGCTAAAGAGCGCGGGAGTGGTCGCGTATCGTCGCGTATGGCCGTAGTTGGTTATTTTCTGTGGATCTACGCGGACGGGGCGGGGGGGGACCAGAATTTTTAGTCGTTTTAGTAGGTGAGGCCAGAATCCTGGAAACAGCGGGATAAAGACCAATTCTTTATCATTCTTTGCGCCAAGATTACCTGGTCGTTGTTAGCAATTTATTATTATTCGCTTTTCTTTATTCTTCGCACCAAAAAAACATCGTATCTGCTACGCGAAACAACAAAATTCCAACAATTCATCGAATACTATGAGGAAAGTCGTGGGTAGGGAGACAGAGAAGCGACATTGTCACATGATCCATTGCCCAATAGCCGCGAAAATCGTCAGTTGCTGGGTGATAACGCCCATGTTCGCGAACCATCAACAACACGTCTGAAAAAGATGACCGTTGAAGGGATTCTAAGAAATCTTACTTATCTTTTTCTACAGGCTCAAAAACGAGGGTTTTACAGGCATTAAAAGGAAGTTGGCGAGAGACGAGACCGACCCCATTATGGCTTGGCACCGTTTTTGACCATTTTTGTTTTGACGCCATCGGAAAGAGCATGATCGAATCAGTAGACTGGATCTTTTAAGATCTTTTAAGAGTTTAAAAGATGCACAATAAAATTCTTCATCGATTGATGTATCGTCCATGAACCGCCCGTTCGGAAGGACTCGGTTAAAAAGCATTTACTGCGCCGAAAATCGACCGAAAAAGCTCAAAAAGGCGAAAATATAATTGACATCAACTCGAGAACGGGCAGATGCTCGAAAATTGGAAACACGAAAACTTGCATTGCAATGACTGACCTTTGCTTTGATGATGCTGGAAGCGGAAGAACTTCGTGTCCATCTCCGATTCAAATTCCTGTAATAAAGCAATTTTATATTTGACAACTGAGCCTAGTACCGTAATAACCATGGTTGAATAGTTTTTTTGTTCAGTTTTTCAGCAATTGCTATTTTTTATTCCGACTTTTACTGTAACCGTGGAATTTCGACGTGTGAGATCTTGTGTAGAATAATTTGCTGCTTCTGAATACGCTTTCAGAAGTGGCGGAATCCCTCTAGTTGAAAAGCTACAACCGTTTTCGCGCGGATTTTATCTAACGTATTGAAATCCCCCTCGCTGTCCCCAAAAAATTGTCGTAACGGGAAGGGGGGGGGTGTACAACTGCAAGCAAACTACAAAAAAGATTCCTCTCCCCTTTTTTTGTTTTTCGTAACCCACGCTTGCGATATATTTCTCGAAGAAGTCGTTGATGTGGAGGGCGGCCACTGAATCTCTTTCCATGGGGCTCGGTATAGGACCAGGCAACGCAATCTAAAAATTGCATTTTCTCTCTCTCTCTCTCTCACGCTCTCTCTCCTGCTTTCTCTAATTCCTACCATATCTTCGGGGAAACGCGGACGAAAATTCTCGGGAACAGCCACAGTCCGCATCCTTCCATCTAACAACCCCTCCCGATTTTCGAGCATCTCCTGAAAAGCATTTTTAGCTAAAAAAGTTGTCGTTTATCGGTGCTTTTGGAGTATTCTATAGCGCTTCAGATCATCAACAAATCCATTCATGAAAAATTGGCGAACGATAGCGCACTTGGAGAAGAAGGGTTCTGTTTCGTTAGCGGGGGGACGGGTTGTCAGCGCGCACAATTATTTTGTCGATAGCTTCTCTTATCTTACAGGCAAAAATAAGAGAGAGAGAGAGAGAGAGAGAGAGCGAGAGAGGTGGATAGAGATAGATAGGTGATAGGTATTCACAAAGCAAAATGCTGACGAAAAGCCAGCTCTAACGTACCCCAATAATTTGCAGCGCGTTCGGGAATAGCGAAGACTTCCAGATGAGGGCCCGATTATTCCACGGCTCGTACATCTCCTCACGGTCCCGTCGACTTGTGCCTCCAGACTGAAATAAAGATTGGTATAAAAAAGGGGATTTTAACGTACGGGATCAATGTTGCAGACGTCGGGTCGGAAACGCATAAATGGTAAGATTCCTGTGAAATGAGTCCGCCAGAGCACCATAGTGCGGTACACACCGACAATTCGAATCGAACTCAGCACTTCCGCCATCTAGAACTTGGAGTGTCAAATGGACAGTAGCGGATGAAGAAGGCGCCCTACTCTCCTACTACAATTCCAAGAAAAACGCATCCCTTCACGCCGATGCCGAGGAGGGCAAGTTTTTATGATTTAGGGATGAATCAAACAGGGTTTGAAGACGGGCAAACATTTGTGCGAAATGACTTTTAGGCAAAACCGCCTTAGACGATATAGAGGATCTTTCGCATTAGCGGGGGGGGGGCGAACTTTTTTGCATGAGTCCAGAAATCCATCCTACTATATGTAAAAAAATCGTGTCTGCGTGTTTGCATTTGCATGCCACTTCTGTTAGCTGTCCGTAGAATAACTCGCTATGGAATAAATTTTAAGGTAGGTAATTTTTAAGGTTTAAGGGGGCGGTTGTTTTAGCGGGGGGGGGGGGGGCGGTTGCGATCTTTTTTCTATGATCTCGTGTATGCTGTCTAATTAAAAGTTTTCCGTTTTTATAGAATTGTACGCTATGTCAAGTGGTTCTGGACTGTTAGCGGGCGGGGAGAAATTAAGAAATACGTCATAAAAATGTTAAGATTTTTGCTTTTTTCGGTCTGGCGCGTATGAAAATGTTTACAGGGTGTGCAAAAAAAATCCCGCAGTTTGGGTCGAAATAACTCGCGAATGGTAGAGAATCGAAGGTACGTTACCATGCCAGAATGCTTAAATATTCTGGGCATGAAGATTTAACACAACTTGATTTTTCCGATTTTTGCCGACGTATTAATACAAATGACACCCGAAAACTGTGCGTTCAGGAAAACTTCATTGGCATTTTTCTCAGTTTCCTGTGGTGACTGGCTTCTAATTTTTATTGAATAAGTTAATGTGGGCAGCAGATATGCACCTACAAAATTTAAGATTTTTTGAGGGTCTGGTTGAAAGGTTATAGAGGAACGAAATTTTGTATGGAGAAATTTCGTAATTTTTCGATATTAAAAAAACTCATGGTGGAAATGTCAAAAGAACTGATTGTGTAATACCTACGTACCATGCACAATCGCATAAACATATTAAAAAAATTTTCGAGATCGACGAATTTTTGAGTTTTTCAACGATTTTTCGAGGTCTCGAAACTGAACTTTGAAAAAATATTTCTAAATTGCCAAAAGGGGCTCAGCTATTTTCTTTGCTTAGCTATGTAGTACTGGGGTTTATCTATCATCTACAAAATTTCGAGCTACCGTACCCCTTTGGAAGGGCGTCTTTTAGGGCCTCAAAAGGATTGGTTGTTGCTTTTTTCCATAACCCTGTCACCATTTTATAAATTTCAATCGCGCTATAAAAATTGTCATTTTAATTCTATCTGATAGCAGTTGAATAGCGCATTCTAAAGCCATGTTCATGAATTTCTTTGACCAGCTGTTGGCGTCATGAAAATTCATCAAAAACCGAAATATGCCGAATTCAAGGGGGCGTAAAAAAATTCGGATGTTGGAGTCGCTATGATATTTTTAGCAATAGGTCTGTGTTATCAGTTAGGTCAACTATGCACAGATTAAGATAATTTCACATCGAAAAAATTTTAAAAAGAATTTTAAACTTCGATTTTGGAACAGGGTGATTTTCCATTTTTGGCTGAAAGTCACCATAATTGCTCCTGAATTTGACAAGCGTAAATCATAACATCAAAGCTATAATCGTATCCAGAAGACTTAGGTGGTTTTTTTATTTTTTTAAATCCGAAACTTGACCCGGCTACTCGGACCCAAGATCGGCTCTGGCCTTGTTTTGCACTTTGCCTCGTAACTTTGTTATTTACCACCAAAAACCAATAATTTTTGACAGGCTATCTTACAATCCACTCTAGAAGGACCTAGAATTGAAAAATCTTCAATTTATGGAATTTTGTGATGGCATGCTAAAGTTAGATGCTTTAGTTTTTGGACCAGTTCGCCAAAAAATTTACAAAATTCTGTGGCAGAATTAAAAAATTAGTTTTTAGTCTTTTTCATGAACGTTTGTCGATGGTACGCTCTCGTATTGGGCAGCAAGGTGCCACTACAATTGCCTAACAACCCAGAAAATCTCAGCCGGATCGAAGCCAGGGGCCCCGAGAAAAGCGGGGAAAACGAAACCTACAGTACCCTCGCTGGGGCACGTTTTAGCAAGCAATATAAAAATACCATAGATTGTGGTGGAATCTGGTGGGGAATCCGAGATTAATATTTGGATAGGTCATTGGCAAAATATCAGCCATGGGTAGTCTGTCAGAAGTGAGTTATAACCCTAAGAACAAAAATAACGCAAAATAGCAAAAATTGTTTTGCTTTTCAAAAATGAAATTGACCTCGATAAATTCTAAGATTTTGTCATTACATTTCTAAATTATATACTATTTTTAGACCAAAAATCAGAATTTTCCCACCTCCCGTTCAAGAACGCACAATTTTCGGTCGTAACCAGCGTCCTACTAAAAACATTATTAAAATAACTACAATTTATCACTAGGCAGGTATAGGCTAAACAAAGAAAAGTTGGCAACCGCCCCCCCCCCCGCTAAAATAACGGCCCCCCGTTACCCTGGAAGCACCCTGCACACTTATCAGATTGTAAAAATCAGCTCTTTTAAAAATGCAATTTCAGTTTTTATAAAAATTTCTGGCATCGTCTTTGTTAGTAAACAACCAGGGTTGAAAAGCCGCTTCGCGACTTTTCAACCCTGGCCCCCGTCTTACCCCCATAGTTCGTCACTTTGCATAAACACCTGAATTCCTGTGCAGAAAAATGAAATGCGCGTTCTCTTCGCCGTTATATAGGCTTCCCCCACTTCCAGTGCATGCTAATTGATTCCTCCTAACAAGAGGCTGAGCGAGATTTTCACGAAAACTTAATTTTAACATCGAAAACAGCTGGGGTGGTACCAAAATTCGTTTACTACCCCTAGCAGGCTAGTAAAAAACCTACTAGGGCTAGTAAAAATTTACTACCCCAGTAATTCGGCTGGGAACCCTAGTTAGCAGCTCAAGTGTGAAAATCTTAGCTACTCTTTCAAAGCTATATAAAACGTCCACAAGAGCTCAAAAAGACTCCAGAGCGATGACAAAAGCTTCTTTAGAGCAAAAGCTACGATTTTAGTAGAAAAAAACCCTCGAAAAGCTAGAAATGGTTTAGAAAATCGAGGAACAAAAAATTACTACCCCCCTAAAAATTTTTACTACCCCAATCAATTATTTTACCGGCCTAGTAAAAACGTTTACCGCCCCCGCCAAAAAAATTACTGGGGTAGCCTAAAAAAATTTTTGGGGTGGTTTGCCACTTTTGGTTACCAGGGGGAAGTAACCCCTTTGCAGAGAAACCGCTAGAAATCCAACGAAACCGCACCGATCGAGCTCCGGGCAATTTTATATGATAGTTCAGGCACTTGTCCAGCGATGTGCGTGAAAAAAAGGCCGACACTCCTCGTGTTTTGGGGTCAAAATCGACAACAAAACGGATACTACCCCAGTAAAAATTTTTACAACAATGTTTTTCAAGTAAGAATTTTTACTGGGGGTAGTAAAATTTTTACTAATGGTTAGCCGTGATTCGCCCGTTATCTAGGTCACAATTCGGGTTTAAATGAGCGAAATAAGATCTTTTATGGGATTTCGCGAAAGTGGTGCTTCGACCATGAGTTTCACTTACTGTCTCCATCTAACTCAAAACTGACATAAAAAGTGCGCAAAAACTAAATTTTATACAACGGTAGCAGCACCTTTTTTCTTTTCAAAGCACCCACGGTCATTTGACTGAAATCTTTCTACCGGAAAACCCATAACTTGGGAAAAGTCAGAAACAGTAGTGTGTCGATATTTGCGTATCTACTTGGTTTTGCGGTGAAGTGGCTTTGACAAAGTCAATTTTGATGAAACAATCGCGCCCCTTGCGGGTCAGCGCTACCGGCCATTTTTCTCTCTTCGGGTCGTTTTAGATCAATCTCGATCATCCTTTTTAGTTCTTTCGCCTGATCCAGGGGGAACCAACCTATTCTTAGGACCTATATTTCAGATATAAATAGTGGCAGTGTTTCTAAATAACTTTTCACGGAAAACTATACAAAATTTTATTAAAAAACCGTCAAAATATCATTTGTGGCTCTTCGACCGTTTCGACCAAAAGGGATAATTTTTGGTTCTTTTTCAAAACTTATTAGATGGTTTCTAGTTGAAAAATATTTATTTTTTTGCTAAAACCACTATTAAAAAACTTGATATGAAGTTACTGGGATTTTTTAGACTTAGTTCGGTCCCCCGCCCCCGATAATGCGAAAAAAGCACGCACCTAATGAGGGAAGATACATACCCTTAACTTCCTCCCCTATTGAGATACGACTGGAACATACGGACGGAAGTTGCATGCAAATGCACAAACACACACACACACAGACACTATTTTTTTTATATATATGTTGTAGGTGTGGCTGTGCGTGAGTTCTTGAATGCTGGCTCAATCC